CCGCCCCACCTGACCCCAGCCCCGCCCCTAGCAGCGTTGTCGTGATGTCAGCGCGCCGCCGCAGAAGCCCGGCAGCAAATGAGCGCCGGCGGCCGCGGCCCTCCGCCGCGCCCTCGCACGCACATGCGCGCACGTTCCAGGAGTTCTGGAGACCTGGCGGACCCGGGCGCGGAGGGAGGCCTGACGGCGGCGGGGGCGGAGCGCGCCGCGAGTTGGGGGCATGTCCGCGGCGGGCGCCGTCTAGAGGAACGCCGAGCCGCCGCCACCACGTTCTCACTCTCGGCGAGACGCAAGCGAGCCAGGCCGCGGGCCGCGGCAGCGATGCAGCGACGGCGGCGCCCTCCGCCTCCTGCCGCTCAGCGGCCGGAGGGCGGCGGGGGCGGCGGGCGCGGCGGTGAGGGCGTGGAGGTGCAGTTCTGCGCTGGGCGCCTGGGTGCGGCCGCCTTGCTCTCGGCCGCGGAAGCGGCGCGCAGCGCGGAGGAGGAGGAGGAGGAGCGGCTGGAGCGCGAGCACTTCTGGAAGATCATCAATGCTTTCCGCTACTACGGGTAAGGAGCCGCAGACTCCGCGCTGACCACGGCACCCGCGCCCACCGCGCCGTCCTCCGACTCGCCCCTGCCCTCCTTCCGCCCCTCCTCAGAGCTCTGGCTCTGGGTTGACCGGTGTCGAGAGTTTCAGATGCTGGATGGTGGTAAAATCGTGCTGGGTACGAGTGGTGTTTGTGAACGATGTCTGAACACGTGGGGAGCCCAAGTACACCTGCACGTGGGGTGCCGTAGATCGGACCTGCCTCCCCCGAACTAGCTAGTTCTGTAAGAACAAGTTTACACTGCACCTCCCTCGGCGCTGTGCACTTTCGTGGTGAGCGATTGAATGAGCTCACTGGCTCTGACTGGTGGGTGATTGAGGCTAGAAGTGATCGCTATGTCCCACAGTTTCCTAATTGTTAAGGGAGGTGAGAGAAAGCGTTGTAAGAGCCGGCTTTATACTCTTTGATTCTGCAAATGTGCATCGAAATCTCTTCCTGGGCTAGGCATGCTGACAGGGGATATAACTATGTTTCGCATTCATAATACAAATTTCTAACGTTAACGTCTTTTTTCCCTCGATAGAAGTTAAAATAGCTTAATCACAAAGTTTGTAATTCCAAGGTCTGAAAGGACTTAGATCAGCAGGATTTTCAGGTAAAGATAACGCATTCCTGTAAGTGATGGGAGGGCCCTCTAGTAGCTATGTTCAGTTCAACCGCAGACACTTAAGGACCTAGGCTAGTAAAGCCGTTTAGATGGGGTCTTGCTGTGCTCCGTGCAAGACTTTTTTTTAAATGTTCGTCCTGTTTGTGTTATAGTTCATGTAAACCTGATGCTAGACTGTGACCTCGTCCGGGCAGGTACTAATTTAAGCCTTATTTATTTTTATGACACCAGCGCTTGGCAAATGTTGAAGCTCTGTTTTTAACAAATAAAACATAGTAGCAAAGAAATAACATTTATCATTCCCAAATATCCTGTGAGTTTTTGACTAATGGCTCCTCTAGTTTGTTATTGTTTGAATTTAGAAACTCAGAGTAACAGTTTAAAAGTTACTTAAAATCGGATTACATTTGTAACAGAATTCTGAGGAATGGGGCTGGTGCTACTGCTGGGGATTGAACTCAGAGCTTTGAACATACTAAAAATGTGCCGTACCATTGAACTAACCTTCCAGTCCGTGTGAAGGAGATTTTTTAAAAGTTCAAAGGTCTTAGTAAAGTAATTTAATTAAACCCAGCAATAGAGATCATGGGCTGTATTGCTTTGGGTGCCCAAAAGGGAATTAGTGATTTGAGTATTTATTTCTCCAGATTCAGTAGCACCTGATAGAGGAAGGCAGAACATAAGAGAACTCAACTTGATCAAAGAATTGTGCCTAGAACAACCATACAGTAAAGGGGAAGTGGCGGACACATGCTGAGGGATAGGTGCATAAAAGTCTGGTATATTATTATTATTATTATTTTTCTCCATTA